CTTTACTTGCTGTAACACCCAAAAATGCAGAGTGAGGTTGATTTCACCTAGAATTTGCAAATAAGGTTTGGCTGACCTCTGCCTGGGATTTACAAGGCAGGGCCGGACTTTGGATTTAGAATTTATAGAAAACCAACAGGAGGCATTTTCTGCATTGTGAGATATCAACATAGACATTTTTAATTCCTCTTTTGAGAGTGTGGCTTTTTGAACTTTTCACATCTTTTTCATTAACTTGCCATAGTTATGTGAGAGGCTCCAGGGGTAAATAGAATCTGATGGCAGAATCTGTAAGTGTAAACAAGCATCTTAAGGCCACAAAGTATCCAGAGCCACAACCACAACTATACCTACCTGTAAAATGTGATACTGGAGTAAAGTATTCTTGTCCAGGACAGCTAGCAAATCAGGATGGATGAGCCAGGTTCTGGAGTTCAACCAAGGCAGTTCCATTTTTTATTTAGAATCATCCTGAGTCTTCTCTGCCTGGCTTATCAGTGGACCATCAGCCCCAGGTCACTGGGAACCCTCTCACAATCACCTGTGAATCTTTGAGACATTTGAGAATGTCCAGAACAGAATTGTGTCAGGCTGACAAGAGTGATTAATTCTGCTTCTGTCCCAGTGTGAGAGAAATGAGTCATCCTGTGTTTGTTTTGCCCCTTACACAAGAAGTATCTTTGATTGGTACCCAGATGAGAGTTTTTCCAGTTCCCTGGTACTTGGGTAAAAAATCAGGAGGTCTGGAGGCTCAAACAGATAAACTAATTGCTTTCATTTCATATAGTCATTAAAAAAAATAGATGAAGCAGGCCAGGTGCAGTGGCTCATACCTGTAACCCCAGCACTTTGGGAAGCCAAGATGGGTGGATCATCTGAGATCAGGAGTTTGAGACCAGCCTGGCCAACATGGTGAAATCCTATCTCTACTAAAAATACCCAAAGTAGCTGGGTGTGGTGGCTCATGCCTGTAGGCTTGGCTACTTGCAAGGCTGAGGCAGGAGAATCTCTTGAACCTGGGAAGTGGAGGCTGCAGTAAGCCGAGATCCCATCTTTGCACTCCAGCCTGGGCAACAAAGTGAGACTTCATCTCAAAAAACAGAAAAAGAAAAGAAAAATAGATGAAGCAGTCATAGTTCCTACCATCCTGGCAGTTTTAGCCTAGACTAGCAACTGGAAATATGGTTGAAATATACATCAGATGGTGGGTACAGTAAATAGACGTGTGCAAAAAATTGGGGCTTTATTTGGGCCACTTTCTTTATACTGTGGCTTCTGATGTCTACACCTGAACTTAGAAGAGTCGTCATTATTATTTGTGTTTATTTTAGCCTGCTAAGAATACTTTTCTTTTTTTTTATTTGAGACAGAGTCTCGCTCTGTCGCCCAGGCTGGAGTCCAGTGGCGCGATCTCGGCTCATGGCAAGCTCCTCCTCCCGGGTTCATGCTATTCTCCTGCCTCAGGTTTCTGAGTCGCCGGGACCACAGGCGCCTGCCACCACGCCCAGCTAATTTTTTTTTTTTTTTTTTTTTTTGTATTTTTAGTAGAGACAGGTTTCACCGTGTTAGTCAGGATGGTCTCGATTTCCTGACCTTGTGATCCACCCACCTCAGCCTCCCAAAGTGCTGGGATTCTAGGCGTGAGCTACCGCACCTGGCCAGAATACTTACTTTTCTTCTAAAAAAATTATTCTAGATAACCTTAAGGGATTTTTAAAAATTGCTTATTAGCATATAATATAAAATTTGAGGGCAGTGGCAAAAAAGATTAAAATTATACAAACTCAGACTTAGGTTTACTTAAGTAAGCTTTAAAAAAATGAACTGACAATACCCCCCAGTAGCACAGAGAACTTAATTGTACATCGGCTGTACACTCTGCCCCAGCCCTGTTCATATTCACCCTTTTTAGAGTCCTTATTTATGTTTGGCTCTACCCTGGCGTCTTGCCTCACAGAACTGATTAGAAGAGATCAGAGTTTTGGGTCATGAATCCTGTTGCCTTTTTAGAGCTGCTGCTCAACATTTTTTGCAACCCAACAGATAAATGGGAAATATAAAGTATGTATTATAGGATCTTACTTTTCAAATTTTTTATTAAAACCAGTGCTTGCAGAAACATTATTTAGCAACTTGTTTTCTGTTCCTGCAGATCTAGTAGTTGATTCACAAGTCCCAAGAAAGTAAGTATAAACACAATAAAAATTTATCTAAATTGCATTAAACTCTTTCCATCTGTATCTCTTTCATCTGTCTATATTTACCTTTTATTCTTTGCATTTTTTGAAAAAATCAATGACAGAACAACAGAAATAGAAATAAAAATGCTGGGTCCTTTAAAGTCTTGGAATTATTGAACACGTAGTATCGACTCACAGGGTGTTACTAGGATTAAACCACATAATGTGCTATCACAGTGCTCTGTAACATCCTATTGAGCACATAGTACCTGCTTAATAAACATTGCATTAGTACATGTGCACATGTTGTTTTCCAAATGCAGACTTACTCAGAAATTGCTACCTTCTGTTTTCTCTGTAAACTTTAGAGTCAGCAAAGAATATAATACTTTAGAATGAAGAATGATTGTCTTCATTTGTACCAGAAGTATTTGTGTTGTGACAAGAGTGCTGGGTTATCAGCCCAGGCTTCTAATGAGTGTCACCTGGCCATTTTGCAGAACTCTCTTTACTTGTGCCCTGTCTGTGGATTCTGTTTATTGTTCTGGTGGAAGCCACCATGTTATTTTAATTAAGTGGTTCATGTGACTCTAAGGTGAGGTCAGAATCAAGTATGAGGAATTCAAAATACATTCATGAGAGTTAAGTTCCATCTTTGCATTAAAGGGTGGTTCAAGAACCCGTTCTGTTTGGATTTGGTAGGGACAGGACAGCGTGGCCCGTATTTCCAGTATTGTAGTGGAAATTGCTGGTGCCTGTGTCAGGGGATGGCTCCTGAGGACAAAATAAAAGTGTATTTTTATCTCTGTGGAGCTACTCATTGTTTCTCAATCTCTTCTCCTATAAAGGACAGAAATGGGTGGAGTTTCTCTGTCTTGGTTCTTCTGCCTGTGGATGTGGTGACAGCAGGTAGACCTGTGGTGCTGACACTTTTAAAGGCATGTTCTCAAGATGCAGGTATAATTTGCCCAGAGAATTTTATCTGAGAAATAATCCTAGAGAAGGAGGAGAAAGAGGAAAAAATGGCCTTTTTTTTTTTTCAGCTAAATATGTCTCAGATCAAGATCTGTGTCCACTCTGCTTCCTCCAGGAAACAAGTTTGTTACTTGCAAACCTGTACTTCTCTACTTGTGTTTTTCCTCCCTAATGAGTTTGTCTTAACTACTTTAAAAAATTCTTACAATAATCAAAGTCTCTGAAAAATACATTTTTCTATATACCAGAGCCTTCTCTACATTATGGCTTCTTATATGTCATGCAGAAATCTCACTATGAATTTATAATCTGCAATATTAAAAATGTCCCTTTGTGGCTGTTGAACATGGGAAGGTGTAGATACTCCAAATTCCTGTTGGGGAAAACCTGGGGTTTTTAGCGAAGACAGAGAACATGTAATATTGAGGTTTCATCTGTGTTCTTTATTATGTCTATGCAGTATAGGATTAAGAAAATACCCATTGAAGCAGTATGGTATTTATTACCCAGAAAATTATAAAAAATTTGATAGGAGATAACTGCTCTTTACAGTGCTAAAGAAAGACTATTTAAAATCACTATTAAAAATTACAGAACATGGGAGATACCTGTATCTTGAACTTTCCATAAAACTAATGTTTCCTTATGGTTAAATTCAGACTATAATTTACCTTTCAGGGGGCAGTATCTCAGCAGTAATGCTGTGTCCTTCTGGGTGCATCAGGACATTATAAAAGTTTGTTCTAGTGTAGTTGATGTTAATAAATCACTTAGTTGAAAAGCTCTCTGATACATGTTTTACTATAGAATTAATTATTTTTCTCTTCATTGTTAAGTATCTTTATGCAGCTGATGTGAACAAACCACCACATTTAATCTGGCAGCTGCCCTTCTTTCTTAGGTTTCCTTTGCATTTGTCTGTTTTTGGAAAATGAAGGCTCTCATCTTCATTTACAAACCAGAAAAACACAGGGTCATTCAATTACTGGATATTTGACAAAATAGTCTTTTTGGGCCAAAAACATTGGCATACTGATGAGCTTGTTAAAAATTCAGCAACTCAGACTTTATCCCTGATCTTCTGAAAAAAAAAAAAAAAATCTGCATTAACAGGATCTCCAGCTTATTGTACACATAAAAATTTGAGTGATAGCTTCTAACTCAACATGTCTATTCCATCTGAATAATATACAAAAGTATGTCCATCTGAAAAATACACACAATTAATTCTTTTTTTTTTTTTTTTGAGATAGAGTTTCACTCTTGTTGTCCAGGCTGGGGGGCAATGGTGCGATCTCAGCTCACCGCAACCTCCGCCTCCTGGATTCAAACGATTTTCCTGCCTCAGCCTCCCAAGTAGCTAGAATTACAAGCACAAAGCACCATGCCCAGCTAATTTTGTGTTTTTAGTAGGGACGGGGTTTCTCCATGTTGGTCAGACTGGTCTCAAACTCCCGACCTCAGGTGATCTGCCCGCCTCTGCCTCCCAAAGTGCTGGGATTACAGGCATGAGCTACCATGCCCGGCACACGATTAATTCTGTATGATGTAAATGTAGCACTCAAAATTGTACATGTTAGTGTTTATGCCCTCAATTTTATACTTTATTGTCCGGAAAAATACACTATATACACTGGTGTTATGGATCTTATAACACTTTGTTTTCTCAGAGTTAGAGAATACATTAGAGAATATTTCTAGTTGAAAACTATTTTATTGAATTATTTCAGTCACTCTTAGAAGTCAGAACCAGCTCTGTTTACTCTCTCCATTTTACGTTGAGTCAAATTAAAAATTATGCCCATGACCACTTGGTAAATAAGTGTGTTTGTGTGTGTTTTCCAGGGATCATTGACATTTCGGGATGTGGCCATAGAATTCTCTGTGGAGGAGTGGCAATGCCTGGACACTGCACAGCAGAATTTATATAGGAATGTGATGTTAGAGAACTACAGAAACCTGGTCTTCCTGGGTGAGAATAACTTTAATACGCAATTCCTAGTATACGCGATAGGTTTCATTTTGCTGCGGACTTTATTGGCCTGAACAAAGGAGGTTGAATGCAGGAATAAAGACAAAGACGGCACCAGGGGACTCCTTGCTTCTAGTGAACAAGGGCTGTGAACTTCTATAGCTCTTCATATTTACTGAGTAAAGGAGATAGGGAGAAGGGGGAGGTTGTGGTCAGCTGCTTGACTTAGTGACTGTATTCTTTGAACAGTACTCTCCAGATGTTCCAGTAGTTAACCTCAAGGAGCATGGCACCAGGGAGTGACTGTCCTCAGTGTACCTTCTGGCGCCATGAGCAGAAGCAAGTTTGCCCACATTCTGCATTCATGATAAACAATTTGCCGTTTGATTCATTCAAGTCCAGTGGAATGCTGAGTTGGCCACAGCCCTCAGGCTTTCGACTCCCAACAGCATTGCTCTTTTGTATAATTTCTTTTTGGTAATTTATGCTTCAGATTTCTGTTTTCAAGAAAATCATAGGGAGTTTTTCATAGAGAAAAAAATTTCAAGATGTTTCATCTTGACCTGAACTTACCACATTCTTGAGCTCCTCTCTGTCCTTCACTTTAGGTTAATGGTAATTTCAAAATTTTACTGGCATAAAATATTATTGCTCGCACTTTAAAATCTAATTACCACCACCAATTTTTAATTCAGTAGTACCAGGTGATAAAAGTAAGAACCCACAAAATTAGAGTATTTTCTAAATATTTAGAAATTTCTGTTGTAATTTAGTATTTTGGGATAAATGTATTAGAATATTGTGTTAAATCCTCTTTACTGAGCACATTATTAAGTTGTTAATTGGAGAATATGAGCAAGAGGCATGTTACTTATTTTTAATAAAACAGGTATTGCTGTCCCTAAGCCAGACCTGATCATTTTTCTGGAGCAAGGAAAAGAGCCCTGGAATATGAAGAGACATGAGATGGCAGAAGAACCCCCAGGTAGGTGAGAGTGAATACAACAGACAACGTGGATGACAGGTCCAAAGTCAAGAAGAAAGCAAGTCCCTAAAGTGATATGGGAAGCAGTGTTCCAAAAGAAATAGTTTCTGGAAAGCCTAATTTTTATTTTTATTTTTAAATTTTCTCTCACACAGGGGCATCTTCTCTCTTTTGCTTTTAAAATATCTAAGAATTCTTCTTTCCCTTCAGTAATCTTCCTTCAAGTTTACAGTGGCAGCCAAAGTACTGTTCATGGCATACAAGAGAGTGTGCAATCTGAGTTTTTTCGTTTTTGTTTTTGTGGACACACAGATGTTTGCATAATTTTAAGACACTCCACGTTAGACTATCTTTTAAGTTCTCTTTTTCCATCATCTCTGAAATGTGTGAGAGTAGTGATTTCTGTATTATTGGGTGTTTTTTGTTCATTTTTCTGCACATTTCATCCTGTTTTTATTATAGTCTTGAAATATAGTTTGAAATTATAAAGTATGATGTCCTTCTGCTTTTTTCTTTTTCTTCAAGATTGCTTTGGCTATTCACAGTTTCTTGTAGTTTCAGGTAAATTTTATGATTGTATTTTTCATTACTGTGAAAAAAAACCACTGGAATATTGATAGAAAGTTTATTGAATCTAGAGATCACTTTGGATAATATGGTGTTTTAGCGTTTATTCTTTGAATCGATAAAGAAAATGTATTTAAATTTATTTGTGTTTTCTTATTTTTCATTGATAAATCTTTCACTTGAAAAGTTTTTCAGTTCCTCGGTTAAATTTGTCCTCAGATATTTATTATTTTAGTGCTATTTTAAATAAGATTGTTTTCTTCCTCTATTTTATCAGATAGTTTAAGTGTATGGAATCATAACTTGTATGTTAATTTTATATTTTGCTAATTTACTGAGTGTATTTATTAGTTTTAAAAGGTTTTAATGTACTGTTTATGGTTTTCTTATAGAGAACATTGCATGATCTACAAGCAGCAATGTTTTACTTGTCTTCAATTTCAATGACTTTAAAAATTTTTTGACTAATTTTTCTTCCACATACATCCAGTGCTGTGTTAAAATAGAAGCCTTGACGATGGGCACAATATACTTTTGCGTTGGTGTCTCAATTTGAAGGAGCAAACACCTCAAAGTTTTGATAAACTGGTTTCAGAGGGTAAAAATCTTCCTTTCTTGGGCCCCCAGGGTGATAGAATGCCCTCTGGGTTTGTAGTAGAGCGGGGTTGTAGCTTGGTCACAAGACTGCTGGCTCTGCACTAGGGTCAGCTTATCATAAAGGACTTGGGTAGTTGTAATTCCCATTTTACTTTTGGACACAGTAAATATCCTTCAGGACTTTGCTCAGTAGGATAGATGCTAGGGCAGGTTTCTGCAGTCAGGTCTGCATATGGTGGGCTTTATATTAGGATGTGGATTAGTATGGCTTGTACTGAGTACCAGAGAGGATTTCTGAGGTCACTGTGGGTTTCTACATAGGTAGAACTGGCGATGAACTGTGGCTTAGGAAGCAGGAACTGAGTCATGGATCTGTTATTGGGACCAAGGTCTGCAGGCCTGCCAGCTTGGCTCTAAATGGGTATCTCTCCAGGCTCCTGGAAGACCAAGACCTCTCACAGACTGTGGCTGGGAGAAGTTTGGGATGCTTACAGAGTAAGTTCAAAATTCTCAGTGGGATGGAGTTGGGTGGGACATTTTCTGGTCTGTAGTCAAGAGCAGGGGTCCTGTAGTTTGCCACCTAAATGAAAGCTTGCCTTCTGAAAAGGGTGCTCCTCAATCTTGGGCTCAGCAAAGTTTCACAATTCCCTCCCTGGATCTCAAAGCTCTCTTAAAGGCACTTATTTCCGAGATGGGGTCTCACTGCATAACCCAGGTTGGTCGTAATATTTTGGCCTGAAGCAGTTCTCCAACCTTACTGTACCATGTAGCTTTCATTACAGATACTAACCATGATGCCTGGTTCTCTCATTAAGACATTTTTGTCATGGATGACTGACAAACTTTCTTGCTGTTGGGGGTTAAGCAAATAGGGCACCTTTTTCTTTTTATCTGCTTCTAAGAGTGTAAATGCATTATATCTATCTATTTCTTACAATCTTTGTCTTTTTGTGGCTGACATTTCATTTTGCATAACGTTATCAAGATTTATCTTTATAATTGGTAGACTGTTTTCTGCTTTTTGAAAACTGAGTGATATTCCAGTATTTTTATATTTCAAATTGTATTTACTGAATGATTTGGTGATGGAAATTTGCATTGCCTTTACCTGTTAGCTTACAGTAATAATTATTGCTATGTAAATGACTCCTCATATGACCATACATGTTGAAGTATATATATATGGGTTGCTTTCTATTTCATTAGTTTAATTTTCATCCTTATACCAGATTGTTTTAATTCTGTAGCTTTGTAACGTCTTTTCAAATCAGGAACTTTAATGCCTGCAGCATTCCTTTATTATTATTATTATTTTAAGATTGATGGGAACTTTATTGCCTTTGGGGTTCGATATACTTTTGGGGTTGCTGTTTCTGTTTCTTCAAAAATACAATGAGAAATTTGAAAAACATTTCATTAAATTTGTAGATTACATTGACCAGGATTGACCAGGATGAACATCTTTACAATATTAACTATTACAACCTTTACATAAGAGCGTGCTCGAGTGTTTTGTTAAATTCCTGTGTGTGTGTATATATATATATATATATATGGTTTTTTTTTTTTTTTTTTTTTTGAGACGGAGTCTTGCTCTATCTCCAGGCTGGAGTGCAGTGGCACGATCTCGGCTCACTGCAACCTCTGCTTCCTGGGTTCAAGCGATTCCTTTGCCTCAGCGTCCTGAGTAGCTGGGACTACAGATGTGTGCCACCAAGCCTGGCTAGTTTTTCACATTTTAGTAGAGACAGGGTTTCACTATGTTGGTCAGAATGGTCTTGATCTCCTGACCTCGTGATCCACCTGCCTCGGCCTCCCAAAGTGCTGGGATAACAGACGTGAGCCACCATGCCTCACATTTTTTTTTTTTCCAGTTTCTGTCTATTATTATTGTATACTTGCATTTGAGTTTAGTCATAGAAAATAATTCATAAAATTTCAGTTTTAAAAAATTTGGTAAGACTTCTTTTTTGGCCTAAGAGGTGGTCTATCAAGAAATATGTTGTATGAGCTATTGAGAAGGGTGTGTATCCTGATGTTGAGGAGTGCTCTCTATACCTCTGTCAGAAATATTTGTTTTATACCACCTTTAAGTAGTCTGTTTCCTTATTAATATTCTGTTTTGATTTTTTAAAATTATACTTTAAATTCTGGGGTACATGTGCAGAGCGTACAGGTTTGTTACATAGGTATGCACGTGCTGTGGTGGTTTGCTGTACCTATCAACCTGTTATCTACATTAGGTATTTTTCCTAATGTTATTCATCCACTAGCCTCCCAACCCACCACAGGCCCCGGTGTGTGATGTTCCCCTTCCTGTGTCCCTGTGTTGTCGTTGTTCAACTCCCACTTATGAGTGAGAACATGCTGTGTTTCGTTTTCTGTTCTTGTGTTAGTTTGCTGAGAATGATGGTTTCCAGCTTTATCCATGTCTCTGCAAAGGACATGAACTCATCCTTTTTGATGGCTGCATACTGTTACGTGGTGTGTATGTGCCACATTTTCTTTATCCAGTCTATTACTAATGGGCATTTGGGTGGGTTCCAAATCTTTGCTATTGTGAATAGTGCTGCAATAAATGTATGTGTGCATGTGTCTTTATAGTAGAATGATTTATAATTTTTTGGGTACCCAGTAATAGAATTGCTGAGTCAAATGGTATTTCTAGTTCTGGATCCTTGAGGAATTGCCACATTGTCTTCCACAATCGCTGAACTAATTTACACTCCAACCAACAGTGTAAAAGCATTCGTACTTCTCCACATCTTCTCGAGCATCTGTTATTTCCTGACTTTTTAATGATCACCATTCTAACTGGGATGAAATGGTATCTCATTGTGGTTTTCATTTGCATTTCTCTAATGACCCGTGATGATGAGCTTTTTTTCATGTTTGTTGGCCACATAAATATCTTTTTTTGAGAAGTATCTGTTCATATCCTTTGCCCACTTTTTGATGTTTTTTTTTTTTTCTTGTAAATTTGTTTAAGTTCTTTATAGATCCTGGATATTAGCCCTTTGTCAGATGGATATATTGGAAAATTTTTCTCCCATTCTGTAGGTTGCCTGTTCACTCTGATAGTTTCTTTTGCTGTGCAGAAGCTCTTTAGTTTAATTAGGTCCCATTTGTCAATTTGGCTTTTGTTGCCATTGCTTTTGATGTTTTAGTTATGAAGTCTTTGCCCATGCCTGTGTCCTGAATGGCGTTGTCCAGGTTTTCTTTTAGGGTTTTTATGGTTTGAGGTGTTACATTTAAGTCTGTAATCCATCTTGAGTTAATTTTTCTATAAGGTATAAGGAAGGGGTCCAGTTTCAGGTTTCTGAATATGGCTAGCCAGTTTTTTCAACACGATTTATTAAATAGGGAATTCTTTCCCCATTGCTTGTTTTTTTCAGGTTTGTCAAAGATCAGATGGTTGTAGATGTGTGATGTTATTTCTGAGGCCTCTGTTCTGTTCCATTGATCTGTATATCTGTTTTGATACCAGTACCATACTGTTTTGGTTACTGTAGCCTTGTAATATAGTTTGAAGTCAGGTAGCATGATGCCTCCAGCTTTGTTCTTTTTGCTTAGGATTGTCTTGGCTATATGAGCTTTTTTTCTGGTTCCATATTAAATTTAGTTTTTTCAAAATCTTTGAAGAAAGTTAGTGGTAGCTTGATGGGGATAGCATTGAATCTAGAAATCACTTTGGGCAGTATGGCCATTTTCACGATATCAGTTCTTCCTATCCATGAGCATGGAATGGTCTTCCATTTGTTTGTGTCCTCTCTTACTTTCTTGAGCAGTGGTTTGTAGTTGTCCCTGAAGAGGTCCTTCACATCCCTTGGTGGTTG